CACTCCAGACATTTTTTGATGCAGTGCTTGACCACACGCTTAATTCAAAACATTTTCCTAGTTGCAGCTTATGAATGAACAACCTAGAAGCAACTATGCAGGGAGATGCTACAGGTATGTGGTAAGTAGCACCAAGTGCATTTTTTTTCCTGTAAGGTTAAATTCAGGGAGGCCGAATTGGTCCAAACTTTTAGTAGAAAATGATAGACAAAACTCAGCTGCATAAGCCTTCCACTCTACAGGAAAACTGATTTTAAAATAGGTCTACTTAGGAAGCTGAAATTTGTTATCCAGTGTCATCCAACCTGAACGCTAATCCTTCTGGAGTACGTAAGCATTTAACATGAACACGTTTGTTTCTGAAGTGTAGTTACTGAGTAAATTGAAATATGACAACTCCAACATTTTAAGTGTACTCTCCTTGATCTACTCAAGTTTGACCTATGATCAAATTTTGATGCATAAACTAACAGCTTCATTTATAATCTATGTAGTATTGTCACACCTTACCAGAAGCTCGGTATTTTCATTGTCTGAAGTGTGAGGTGTTACAGAGACACTTAAAGCAAGGTCACTGTAGTGACCTTAAAGTCACTACAGGAAGGTGCTCACCTGTCAGAGTTAAATGACGGATTTTTTGTTTGCAGTCTTCTTTTTTCCCTCTTACTGGTCTCAGGAGTGAATTCAGTCTGTCGTCCTGGGTTAGCAAACTGCAGAGACTTCAAAGCCTTAGCTGTACGCCCCTGAACAGAGACAGAAAATCTCACTTCATTATGAATAAGTACCCAAATTCTTAAGGAAATGCCCAGTCAAGCCAGGATATTGTAATGACTGAGGTATGCTGACCCCAACTCTGAGCACTGTATTTCTCAGGAGAAGACTTAAGTCTTCTTAAGCGTTACATTACAGAACTCTGCCAGTCCCAAAAGTCAGTAATATCTCCTGTTATGCAGCTGTAAGATACAGTTGGGTGGCTGTGCCTGGGCTGAGGGGTGACTGCTCCTTGAATGCCATGCTGTTTTGCTCTAGAGCGTATGTGGATGAGCTCTTGTTGACTTGGTTTTCCACTTGGTTCTACTGATTACCTGCATGCTTCAAACAAAGCACCCAGAAATGTATAAACTGTATTATGAACTCAGCACTTAAAGCATCATCCTCTCACATCAAACTGCCCCTGAACAAACAGGGGCAGCTCAGGCACCACATCTGCATGCACTTAATTCACTTCCGTGCAGGTTCACTTGGTAATGAACTGCTAGATGCAGTAGATTCTCTTAAAACTGAGGAGACTAACCCAGAAGTTTCTCTCAATGCTCTTAGAAACAACCATTGCAGTGTTTAAATGGGAGCTTGCTTTTCACAGGCTTGAGAAACAGCTTAAGACAACAGCAGCCGGCTGGTATTTACATAACCTGAGGTGTACGTCACCCTAGCGCACACAACTAATTAGAAAGGCCCTAATATTTAATTAGGGAAGAGGATTTTTAAAGTAAAAAAGTGGAATGAGCGTATGCACTCATTTCATTGAACGCTCCTCCAAATAAAGGTTCAGATACAGCAAACTCCCATGCAGCAAGAGTCTGCACCTTTTTGTATTTCTACTGAACAACTTGGTTCGTTTATATAGGACTTGTATGAAGCCCAGGTCCAACAGTCTGCAGAACTTAGAGGGGGTGGGACAACTGATCCATATACATACGTCCGAATCAAGCTTTCTTCTTTGGCGTTCTTCAGCTCCGACATCCACACTCCCATTTATTACCTGCATACATTTGGGACAAAGCTTCCAACCAGGTACAAACTGTCTTCCAAACTTGGCAGTTAGAAAAGTTGCGTCATGCAGGTCAATTGCACGCAAGTTTTTCTTTGATACTTTTCTGTGCATATTAAAAGGGTCGCAACATGACTTTTGTAAGTCTTCAAATCTTTCAATGTAAATTTTTGCATGATGAAAGCAGATGGTGTCGTTCTCTGAAAGGGTCATTCCAGTCCTAAGCTGAAGCAACAGTAGATCGAATGAAGATATATCTTCCTTAGTCTTGAAGCCAGTGTGACGGGTATAATAGGTCTTATGGCATTCATTGGTAGCTTGAAGCTGAACTCCAACTGAACAAGGATCCATTTTTATCAGAACAACTTATTTCACTTATTTTGCCTAAAATGAGTTCTTTGAAGTCTTTAGTAGTTCCTATGAAGATCACCCTAGAGAAAGCATTAAAATCAATCAGATTTGTGCTGCAAACTTTTACCTGTAAGCTTGACAAACTAGGTTCAAGTAGCTTAAGATACATTTCTTAAATTATACTCGCTTTCTAGTCTAGATGCACTCATTCTCTTTTCAGAGGCATTTTTTTTACCAGCCGTTCTAAGTATCCATTCAGCAGCACTGCCTTATCAAAGGCAATCTGGAGGTGAGGTGCGAGGTAGATGATTTGTTCAACAGCAGCCTGCTGTGCTCTCCAGCCTCCAACTGGCACACTCCCAGCTGCTCAAGGAGAGGGCCCACAGGACCTGTCTGATGGCTGAACAACTCAGCCATCTGGTTTCCGTGTAGTTTCAGGGGAAAAAAAGGTAGGTTGCTGAAGGTAGGCTGCACAGGCTGATGCCAGCTGGTGATCTACATCCAGCAGCTATCAGCTCTTTCCTGTGTACTCCTAGGGAGCAAAGAAAAGCCTTGACAGGTGTGAGTCAGCACCCTGACTGAATGTGAGCATCTCCAGGAAATGGCCACCTGTAGTACATGTAAGGATGTGTGCACTTGTGGATGGATGGCCTTTGCATGCAGCTCTTTCTATCTGACTGCTACGCCCCCATCATATAAACACGGGGCACTCATTTAAACTTACTTAAACACAAAATTAAAAATATTATGCTAGCTATTGCAGAGTGGTCCTGCCCGTGCCAAAATTTGTTACAAATCCAGCGTTGGCCCTAAAACATCAAAGCTTGAGCCAATCTTGTGCTATTTTCTACTACGACACAATGGGGAAAATATATCCTCCAAAGGAAAAGAATTCATTTTCTGACACAGAGAAATCAAAAAGCATCATTACTTGTTCTAGCCACTGAACAGGATAGCACATTTTTTAATGAATGAAAGCATCAGTCAGTTGTAGAATGGGAGAAGATAGTCTAGGATACTACTTCTAATAAAATAAAGGTGAGTAGCAGCACAAACAACCCAATGACATGAAAATGAAATGTGTTAATTTAACCAGACTACAGAGGTATGATCACAGTGGCAAAAGTTCCTCACAGAACAATTAGAGGCCTTTTACAGCACTCTGAAAAGCCACTGTTGGGAGTATATTTTTGCAGCAGAAATCCCCTTGATTGTAATGCCTTAGTTTTTCTAACCAGATGCATGCACTTGAAGAAGCTGCATGACACATTTCCATGTATTAATCTGTATGCACAGCAATTTAAAGGTGTTGCGTAGGACGTGTGGTTGTTGAGTGATTCACCCATTCCAAATATAAGAGAGAATGCTTGGCTGTAGAGAGATAAACTAGTTTTTAAATGCAATTTTACAATTTGTTTGAGATGGAGCAGGGTGTAAGAGCATTAATTCTTCAGGCAATAAGAGCCCTGAATGCGCAGGCAGTTTTAGAAAGACTTGAGTTTAAAAGGAAAAAGGGAGGGAAGAGAAGAAGGTGAATCTCCTTCTGAAAATAAAGCAAAATTAGTTCCTTTCTTTAGCAAGTTACCCATGCAGAAAAGCTTAAGGTAGTGAGTTAATAAGACATTCTGTATTGATTTCTCAGGTTTAGTGTCTTAGTAAACCAGCTATACTCAGAACTAGTCACTTTTTTAGTCACTAAGTGCACGCTTGTCTTTTGCACTATGGTACATGGAATGCTGTATGAGTAAAGCTCATTGCAGCTGAGCATGTTTTTAACAGCAGTATGTCAACACCCAATAATATGATTCAGTAAGTCTGTTGCAGGCCATGCACCAAACCTGCTGCAAACGTCACAACGCGTGCTTGCAACTGACTCCTGCTCCTGTAGATGGGTGCAGATGAGGAAGCACGCTAGATAAACAGAAAAGTAGTTCTGAACTGTCAGCATTTGCAGATGCATCACAAGTCTGACTTCTTGGTAGATGTTTAATTAAGAATTGATAACTTCTTTTCTATAAAGGAGAAGATAAGTGTTACATTGCTATCCTCGGCAGACAGCTGCTCTGCCAGCTGACCGTGCTCCTGAAGCACTGCTGGGCTAACGTAATGGAGTGTGCATCGAGCACCAGCTGTGTGACTTAACGTGTCTCACTCACTCAGTCCTTTTGTAAAACCTCTTGGCAGAAGCTTCAGCTGTACTTCTTCCTTCCCTCCACCTTGGGAGGAATACACAGCTCTTTGCCTTTAATTCTCTGGTTGAAACAGGAGAGGGGTCCAGCAGCCTGGTGCTTTAATAGAGGCGAGTGCTGACACCTGTGAAATCAGCAACGAGCGTTTACAGACAACAAACTAAAGCAGGACACAGTGATGAGAACCAGGACAGCGAAGCGCACGTGCAAAGTAAAGAACGCGTGAAGCAGAGCGAGGGCTGCGCCAATTCTCGGAGGTAGGAGCAGAGAAAGAAGGTAGGAAACCGGTCTAGAGCGACAGCTGCGGGCCGTGAGAGGCCGAAGGGAAAGAGAAGTCCTGATGCGGCAGCGCAGCCCTCGGCCCCAGGCGGCGTTGTGCCAGGCTCAGGCTTCCCTCGGGACGGCTCCGCGGCCAGGCCAACCCAGAACGGAGCTTTCCCGGCGCGGCTGCCGCTTCTCCGCCCCCTCCCCGGTACCTTGCCGTGGACTTTCCTCCGCCTCTGAGCCGGGACTCCCGCACCCGGCTTCCGCGCGGCCCCAGCTACATCAGCGCTGCCGATAGCGGACATCGACCGTGTCTCTCCCCGGCTACCGTAGAGCGGGGGAACCACCGTAACGCAAGGAGCTGCACTTCCGGTTGGGCGTGCAACGGGCGGGCGGAAGCGGCAGGCAGTCACGTGGCAAGGCGCGATCACGCGCTGCGCTGCGAGAGGGGGTGGTTGTGGGGGTGGTCGCGCGCCGTTCTCGTGCTTTTCGCGCGCTGCGGTGCTGAGCGCGAGGCGCGACCGCAGGGCTTTTCCAGTCAGCGCTGTGGCGGTCTGTGTGGTACCGGGCTCTGAGCCCCCCTACCTATTGCTGCTGTGCGCTGTAGTTACCCTACAGCGAGACAGAAGTATTTGCAAGATCATCCCTTGCACAGTTCTACTCCAGCATTGCCCATAGCACAGCCCAGCAGCACGAACTACAAGCGAATAATGCCAGTTAATCGCTCTAGAAGCTTTTTGTCTCCTTCCCTGGTTATTTATGACTAAGTAATTACAGACTGGCTCTCTAGGAGGCTTGGGGTGGATGGTAAGTACAAGCAAGATGGGTTAACAGTTACAGCAAATGCAGGAGGGCAGAGCGGAGAGCTAAAGACGTCCTAACAAGCCCACAAGCAGGTGTCAGTAACGGAACAGCCAGCAGTGTGCGCTGCTCGCCTCAGCACGGCTGTTAGAGAAACAGCTGAGCAGAAACACACAGGTGATTTGGGGCTGAGCTCGGGCACCAACAGGAGCCAGTCTTCCTTCATTATAAATGTTTGGGAGTAGACCTAGGTGGTCAAATTGTGATTCGAAGAGCTTTTGTTTCTCCCTCCGTCAGAAGCAGCGTTGGAATGTTGGATTTGGTACTGGCCAAGCCTTAAAAGGACGCTAAACCTGCCTTAAGGGGCAGAGGGCTTGAAATACATCACCAATTTAAATCAAGGTAGTTAGCAATACACAGTTTTCTGCTGTCTGTATCCTTTTAAAACACAAGACTGTTATTTGGGGGGACTTTTCGCCTAACTTCTTGCCACAGCACTGGGGATGGGTAGAAGAATAGTTGTAAATAAGGAAAGGGCGGTGGAGGTGTCTCAACCACAAGCAGGTTTCATGCTTGCATCAGGAGGTGTCCAGGCAGCACTCCAGGGAGTGCTCTGGAATATAAAGCTTTAATCCTAGTGTGACACTAGCAGGATGTAGGCTGTGTATCTGACTGTTAACAGAAGGCTGTTGTAAATTCTTGAGTCATACGTTGCCTTAATGATGACAGAGGGACTGTCAAGTGCGATCATTCAGAGCGGGTGATAAGGCTTCCTCTGCTGACTTGTGCTGCTTAGGAGATGCGTGGAGTTAACGAAGGGGAATAATTAATGAGAGGAGGTATTTGAGGTACAGGTTGTGACATCAATTTGTATTAGATAAGCATAGGAAGAGCAGTGAGGCGTGTGCATTCGCCTTTCCAGTGTTCGTGTCGACCTGTGAGGCTGAGTGTGTAGGGTTAGAGTCAGAGTTCAGTTGCTGTTAATACAGCAAGTTTGCCATCCATGCATTCAGACTGGCTTTGACTGGCCGTGTTATCTTTCATCTGCCTAACTGAATGGTACCCTGCACAGAAACTCAGTCTTTTTTTCTCTCTTTTTTTTTTTTTCCCCTCCAGGAGCACTGTTTGGAATTTTAGGTTTTGGTTAACTTCATTTATCATGTGAACAGCATCGTTTTAAAAGCTTGCACCTGTAACTGTATCTGTAACTGTATCATAACTGTATCTGTAACTACATAGTTACAAGAATCCATGTATCCACGTAGGTTGGCCTAGAAACCAGCAGAATGCTGATAAACGGCAGAGATTTGAATTCACTTCTTTTCCAGAATTTAATCTAAATTAATCCATTTTTATTTGTATTTTTACTATTTAAGTGGAACTGATTCAAATACTCCACTTCTGTAGAATCTTTTTTATCACATGAAGCGTCTCTCTTTAATGTGAATGTTACATGAAAATAAAGTTTGCATATGGTTATATTTGGCCTGTTTGATAAGGAGAAAGTCCTAATTTGGGTTACACAGTTTTGTCGCCACCACAACTGGTGTTTGTTCTCTTCAAAGTCTTCAGATATGTTCAGTCAGAGTTAATGTGAGTGATCATAGCAAGGAAAGCACTTTGGTGTAAATAGAAAAGAAAGCTTGTCTATGAAGGAGTGCATGAGCAAATTGGGCGTGAAGGGATGAAGCCCTGTGTGAGGTGCAGCTCCGAGCCTTTAAAGCTGCGTTAGCGCTAGGGAGGCTCGCAACAAAGAGCATGGATGTGAGAGCTAGGGAAGGAAAGGCAAGACTTACAGCAAGTTCCTATGCTCGGTACTAAAAAAAAAGAAAGATTTTATGGAAGAAAGCAAGTGACGAACTTTGAGTAAATCCGAGGATGTGGTTGGAGTATGATGTGATGTTTGTTAGACACAGTCCTGCTGTGATCATTATGGAGCTGCTCATTATGCTTTGTAAACTTCCTGATACTGAGGGGATGCCCAGCTGAGGGAACATGGGGACCTCATTCTTTCTGGGAGTAAATAATATCCTGTTTGAATGCTGGTTGTGAAACAAGAGCAAAGTTAGGCATGAAAGAAAAGGACCTGAGAGGTTGTATTTTGTTGCCATTGAATGTATTTTGTCCATAGGAGGTAACATTTCATTTCCACAATACCTCCATAATTATATTTAATTACAAATAGAAGTGTTGATTTCTCCCTTTTGCCCACACAAACTTGAATACAAGCACATAAGGCCAAGTGCAGGGTACTGCACTTGGGTCAGGGCAGTCCCAGGTGTTTATACAAACTAGGGGAAGATCTCCTTGAGAGCAGCCCTGTGGAGAAGGACTTGGGGCTCCTGGTAGATGAGAGGCTGCACATGAGCCAGCAGTGCATTTGCAACACAGAAGGCCAACTGTGTTCCGGGCTGCATTAAAAAAGGGGTGGCCAGCAGGGAGAGGGAGGTGATCGTCCCCTGCATGCAGGCCTGGGGCTGCCAGCAGAGGAAAGACGTGGAGCTCTTGGAGGGGGTCCAGAGGAGGGCACTGAGATGATCAGAGGGCTGCAGCATCTCTCCTGTGAGGAAAGGTTGAGGGAACTGGGCTTGTTTAGCTTGGAGAAGAGAAGGCTCTGGGGAGACCTCATTGTGGCCTTCCAGTGCTTGAAGGGAGCATATAAACAGGAGGAGGAAAGGCTGTTTGTGAGGGTGGATAGCGATAGGACAAGGGGGAATGGTTTTAAACTGAGACAGGGGAGGTTTAGGTTGCATATGAGGAGGAAGTTTTTCAGCCAGAGGGTGGTGAGGCACTGGCACAGGTTGCCCAAGGAGGCTGTGGATGCCCCATCCCTGCAGGCATTCAAGGCCAGGCTGGATGTGGCTCTGGGCAGCCTGGGCTGCTGGTTGGCGACCTGCACACAGCAGGGGTTGGAACCGGATGAGCATTGTGCTCCTTTGCAACCCAGGCCATTCTATTAAATAAGCACATAAAGACATTCACTAAACCTTGAAGAGAACTGCAGATAGGTAGTCCTAGCACATAATGAGTTCTCATTATCTTCTGAAAAATATGATGCTAACTGCTGGGTGTGAACTGAGAGTCACAAACTAATGACTTGTCCACAGCAAAACTGTTTCTTTCACACCAAATGTAAAGCTGCCAGAAGTCTGAATATCACCATAAAGCTTAAAATAATTTTAGAAGATCTTAAAGTAAAGAGTGCTTTGGACTATCTTTTAACATTTTACTCTGTAACTCTGTAATCACAGTTATTTTATAAGGCCGCATGTAAAAGTGGCCATAGGATGGGTTGTGTTGGAAGGGATATGAAAGCTCATCCAGTTCCAGTACTATGCTGTGGCCTGGGACACCCCCAATCAGCTCAGGCTGCCCAAGGCTCCATCCAGACTCAGAGATGGGGCGTCCACAGCTTCTCTGGGCAGCCTGTGCCTGTGCTTCACCACCCTCTGAGTCAACATTCTTCCTTGCATCTAATCTAAATCCACCCTCTTCTAGTTTAAAAACTCTTATTCTTTTTCCTGTCACAGCAGACCTTACTAAAGAGTCCCTCCCTTTTGTTTCTGTAGACCCCCTTTCAATACTGGATTTAATCACTTTCCAGCCTGGATGTGTGTCATTGTTATTTTATTCTGGCAATATTATGAAGATTATTGATTATTGCCAAAATTTAGATTTAAATTTTGGCCCACAACTAAGTGTTTGTGTACTTTTAGGATCATGTATTTCTACTCTGTCAGTCTAACAAAATCTAATATCTACTCATTGCTTGATGTATAACAATTGAAAATCATTTGCTTTGATTGCATTTGATATTGGGATGCCTCTTTGGAAATCTTTTGCCCTTTTTAGGCTGATCTCTTGATATCCTTTATAAATTATGTTTTGAAAAGTTCTGTCTACTCAGTGAGATCTTTCTTCCTTGTGTTGAACAGGATTTGGGCTGCTGCTTCCAATCTGCTCCTTGTGTTTGAGCAGCTTCACAGTTGATGTAGCAACGAATGCATCACCCTGGTTTTTGCTTCAGGGCTGAAGAGAACGTGCTTTGAAACATGGATGTCTGCTGTCCTCAGGAAGCTGTGCAGCATCTCTCTGTCAGGTTTGTGTCTCACGAGAAAGCCCCACTAGGTACCATTTTGTTCTGACTTTCATGTCTTATATGGTGCTGATTTTCACTGGAAGTTTTCTTTACCCTTCTGTAGAGGTTCTGAATTTACTTGTGATTCAGAAAGCAGGGACATTTAGTTTTTATGTTACTAAAAGTAAACAGATGTAGTCTCTTTTCAGCCTCTTCAGAGAGCAAGCAAGCCATGCACAGATCTAAGCCCGGTTAATGCTTACTCACTGGTAACTGGATAAGATGTTCAAAGAATTTAGAATTTGACCTTTGCTAAGAAAAATGTACTCTCCATGTTTGGACTGATGGAAATTGAAGGTTGTTAATCTGACAGTAGGCAAACTGAATAGAAATGAAGAAGCAACTGTTTTCACATTGGTTCATGCTGTAGCTTGAACCTATCTATCTGTTACTTCTTCCCAGTGTGCTCTTATGCTCGAAAAAGCAAATAAATAATGAATGCATGACCTCAAATGGGCATTATTTCTGAATGCAAGTGTGAGCTTACAGGTCATGCACTGTGCTAGGAAGGCTGGTAAGATTAGTTCCTGTTAAACAGTAGGGCTTGATTCATGATTATTCTGAATTTCTTTTACTCTGCCCGATGCAGTAAAAGAAATGCAGAGCAAACTGTAAGGCTCCCTTAATTGAACACCAAAGTTCAGGAGAAGAAATGCATGGATCAGCATTCAGATGTGAGTGTTGGTTGTAAAGCTGCCACCGGATTTGGATCATTCACAAGGATTGGAGTTAAGTCCTGTTTTTTGAAACTAGGCATGAACTGCCAGCAGTGATCATTGGCTGTTTGCTGGAAATTCTTGCTTTGTGATGCTATCTGTAAAAGCGGAAATTTTTCTTGTAATATTTGTGTGTGAGGAAAAGTTTTATTCTGTTGACAGGGTTATACTGGTGTGAAAGTTTTTCTGCTGCTGAGGATAGCTAATGTATAGTATATTTTAAAAAGCATGTTTTTCCAGGGCCAGATGCACCTATCTTTACATTCACCACTTTGTCACCTTACTGAGGAAGTTCTAGTCATTATCATCATCTAGTTATTGCCAGAAAAATGACAGTGAAGCTGGATGACTTGCTGAAATTCTAAAGCATTTCAGTAGCCAAGTGAAAAGCACCTAACAAGTGTCAGAGTAGACTTATATCCCTGGGAGCAGCTGTGCAAGGTTTTATTCTTGCTGCTGTATTGGTGTAATTCATATGAGAAGGTTTTTATTTACGGCCTCTTGCTTTAGTCATAACCTTCTGCAAGAAAACATTTACTTCTAATCTGGCTGCTCCAAATTAGTTCTGCCACCCTTCCTCTGTTACATTTGTAGAACAGCAAGTCCTAGAGTGCAAGGAATGTCAGAACCTGACTCTTATATATAACTATTAGTGTTGCAAAACTTATCAAACATGAAGTTTGACGATAAAACATAATGATAAAACACTCAGTGCAGCTGGTTGTTCGTATCAAACCCAACGGCAAGTATCTGTGAGCTTAGATTTTTTCACTGCTCTTCTCTTACGAGGATTGGGTTCTGCACAAAATTCTATGGCTGTGGAATTCAGTTCTATAGCATTCTGCTCCATCCCTCACTGTACAGTGGTGTTTCTCCTTTTAACAAGCTGTAGCTGTGGGAATCACCACTGTTCCTTGAAATCCTTACACATAGAAATGAGGCGGCTGTTCCATGAAAGCTTTACCAAAATCAAGCTTATTTACATCCTTTCTGTTTGTACATTAGAAAGTGATTTGGGTATGTGTATGTCTGTAACTGTGGGAACAGTTAGAGTGCCCAGCAGTTTTACAGCTTTGTGACAGACTGATGACTTAACACCCCAGTGGATTTCATGCGTTGTAATGTGTTTGGAGAGAAAGTGGCATACTTGTTTGGCTGCAAGTGGTGGGCCTCTTCATACATACCAGCAAATAGTGCAAACAGTCACAGGCTAACTCTAGAGGCTCTTAATTTTCAAAAAATAGTGTAAAACTATTACATACTGTGTTAGGCAATATTATTGGGGGAAAAAAAAATATAACAAACAAAAAAAAAAATAGGGTAACATGATTGTTAAGGCAAGTTGTACCACCAGCTGGGATTTATTGATGTCTTAATATTCTCTTTTCATTGCCAATTTCAAGTTTTGTTTTTAAGTTTTTGTCAGGGTGCATTGCCTGCTAGCTGTACAATAATGACCTGCTACAATTCTGTCTGCATGATTTTCTCTTGAGGTTATTCCTCAGTCTCTCCTGAAGATAATCACAGCATGTAAGTCGTTCTGGTTGTTTGCTGACCAAATTCTATTGCTGCCCACAGTGTCTGATGTTATCATCTCTTGTCATCTTCTAAGAAGTCTTTGTCACCATTGTATTTCAAAGGCTTTGTTTTTTACGTGCCCGTAACATAAATTTGCCATGGTCTATTAATGTGCTACTGTGGAAAAATACATTATTTCACTGTTTATATAATTTGTTGTTTGGAGAGTCTTCAGTTTTTCTGCACTCCAGTAGTTAAGCAAATTTTTGAGGGCTTTTAAGGACTAAACTGTTTAGGCCTTCTCTTTATTTATTTTTTTGGAACTGAACTTCATGTCATTCTTAGCCAATTGCTTTGTACCTTCCGGTGTTGTCACACCTTGATTGTTGGCACCAATTTTTATTAAGTCAGCTGACTGTGTTAATGCTCCATTAATGTGGGACAGTCAGCATTTCTCAACTTTTTTTTTAATGCATTGCATTCCATAGCAAAAATTGGCATCTGATCAGTGCATCCAAGGTGTTTCAAGGTGTCACAAGAAGATTCCTTCTGCTTTGTGCTATTTTTCTATCAATGGGTCCCTAATAAATTCTGTGTGGGTGAGGATACTTTTCTCCCTGTCTGCTTATACCCAGCAGAAAGATATTTAATCTTGTTGGCAACTTCTGTTACATTTGCTGAGATGAGTTGTGGTTTTGAAGCCATCCAGCTTTCTCCAAGGTTGGTTATGATAGCAGGTATCCCATGTTTTTAGATAGCCAATAGAAACATGGTCAGTGGGGACTGAAATTCCAGAGAAACAATTTCATTTTGCCGTGAGGTTAATTCTGCTCCTGAAATTTGCTTCATACAATCTTGAATTACAAAGAGCAGTTCTGATTTTGACTGATAGCATTGCATCAAAACTTCATATTCCCATTCTTGAACAAAAATATTCCCTTTATCTGCTTGTCCAGCTGATATCCAGTCAGCTATACATAATTGTAGATTTTCCATGGTGTATGGGAACTGCTGAGTCACGGCCTGAACCTCTGATTGATCACCGGAGGCGAGCCATGAGTCAGCCAGAGGAGCACAGGTGAAGGCAATTCACCTAGACCTATTCCTAGACCTATTGAAGAGCTGGCTACCAGTGGGGAAGGATCTCGTCTGGAGATCCCTCCTTCTGGTGTTTTGTGGTGAGCCCAGCATAAGGGTAAGCCTTCCATTTATTCTCTCTTGTTATCATAGTCCACTTCGCCTAACTCTCTTGTTTATTTTGTGATTGTAACATCTTGATATCCATTGATTATACACATGGTAACATAACTACTGATTGCTTTAAACAAAACTGCTTGTACTTTCCCAGTTTTTATTTTTAAAGAAACAGGTGCTTTTTGGAATTAATATTTGACTCTGTTTTCATTTTTACCCTTTAGCGTTGTAAGTAGTTTTGATGAGGCATTTTTCTTATCTTTTTCTTGCTGCTTGGTTGCTTTTTTGCTGCTTGGACAGAGGCAGCATGCTGTTGGTGTGCCATTGTAGAGTCAGCTTGACTCAACGTTTGCTCTCAAATTGTACTCCAGGATTTTTTGTCACCGACCCTTGGTTGAGGATGTTGAAGGCGGCCATTTTCCTGAAACCTCAGAAGTACAACGCTTTCCCTATTCCCAGCACTTACAACCTCAGTTACAAGCATGTGATAAACTGCCTCAGTACCAACACTGTGCATGGATAATGGAGGTCTTGTCTACATTGCAGACCAAGAACATTATCCAGAGTGCTTGCTGTGTTCTTTGTCCAGCCTGAGGATCTGTTGGAATGTCTGGAAGCTTCTGCCATGTCTGGATCAGTTTGAGAGACTAATCCAGAAGACAGGAACAGCTCCTAGAGCCCACGCTTGTGCTTAAAGGTATGTGCATAGCACAGAGCTTCCTAGACTGATTTTAGTTACAGAATAGTTAATAAATGGGTAATGACACTAGCTGTGATGTGTTCTAATGAAAGACTTCTCAGGATTACAGAGGGGGAGTTGAAAAGCTGGTATCTCAGATATTTGAAACAAATATTCTCCTTTCTTTGCTTTGGTTTGTTTTCCTGGCTTTATATCCTCCAGCTATACAAGATGAACATTTGGGCCATTTGTCATCTTGAATTCATGTCATTTTAAGTATATAGACATACCACTGGAATATCTCCTTATTTATTCACTTAAATGCATTGTGCCCAGAATGCTGTTTTCCTTTTGTCTAATTGCCTTTTCCTTTAATTTCTATGATAATGGTGTTTATATTGCTTTCTTCTATTTCGTATTTTATGTGTATTTATGTTCATGCAGCCTCTTCATGCTACTGTATTAGAATAAGTGGGAGGTTTTTTTGGTCCCTTCACTATTCTCATTCTAAATGATAAGCATGCATTTGCTTATTCTGTAATGTTTTCCAGGAATTTTGAAAAACAAATCTTGGAAAAGTCCTTAGAATATCATATAGTTGTTGGCTTTGTACAAATGTCCTACTGAAAACCTAATTCATGTGCTGGTGCAAAATCTAAGAAGGGCAATCAGCTGAGCTTACTGTCCATTGGCAGATGCACATGCACATGCTGGACTTTCTAGAATATAAGGTGGTTTGAATGAGTGGTTTTTCTGTTTTATGGCCAGCATTAATAGTCTTTGCAAACCTAATTCCCTTTTCTTTCTCTCATTCTCCCTTTTTCCCTTTCTCCCTTTCTCTCTTTCTTCCTCTCTTCCTCTCTTTCTTTGTCTCTTTTTTAAGGCAGCTTAAGAGTAAAGTTTAAGTTAAGAATACTCTGTTAAGAGTGAAGGTTCTAGTTCAGCTAAGCAACATGCAGTGGTTAGTGATGATGCCAGTATCTTATCCTATATTATTTACCCTTGTATTAAATCACAAATCAGAATGTGTTTTTTTAGATAACCAAGGTGCCACACAAGAAAAATCAAAATAAAGTGGTTATACCTAATGGTTCATGTGTTGCATGCTTTTGAGTTCTGTCTTGGGGAATTTGAAGGCATTTGCAGCAGAAAGGAAATGCTAAAAACAAAAGGCTGTCAACAATTAAATTTTACCTCTATAACACAGATTGCCCTTGAATTGCACGTTCAAACCTAGGAGCTTAGAAATACTGCCTTATCCAGTAGTTTGAATCTAGCTACTGAGACCAAATAGAATACTTTATCCAAGTTCTTACAGTTGTCTTCAGTAATTTTGTTTTTATTGTTGTTTTGTAATTAATCTGGCATCCAGGAGCTACATTTATGGGCTGCGGTTTCTGTGCCAATTGCTGTATTTAAAAACAAACAAACAAACCCACCAAGGGTTTTGTTCTGTTGTTACAGTCAAATAGATATTAGGAAACCTATCCAGAACATAGGTCAGCAAATATATTTTGAGGCCCAATCTGAGCTAATTTGTCCATCAAAGGGCTAAACTGTCAATTTTACATCCTGCACATTTTTTAATTGGAATTGTTACGATATCGCTGTGCACTCATCTGGTTGGCACTGAGTTGCAGAAATGTTTTTAGCTTGGACTAAAGACCTGAACCTTCTCAAAACTTCCCAAAAGTGAAAGGGATGCACATTGCAGTGTGTGTGGCCTTATCGTATCTCAGATCCGTGCCTTCTTAAGTGATGGTATGCAATGGAACCCCAGTGTTTGTCCCAGGAGAATTTCTTACGACCAAGATTTTTGTGTTTCCGAATGTATTATTTTTTTGTTTGTTTTAGTAGCCACAAACTCTTTGGAGTGTTATAATTCAGTGGAGTACACTGAAGCCTTGGCTTTGTGCAGTGCTTGTTCCCATGAGGTAACTTGGACTTAACACAGTGTTTCATTCTTTTGGTGGCTCTGCACTGAAGGAGAGGGAAACTAATTTTGTGAAGTGAAATATGGTTGCCCTGTACTGCTCTTGGATCAGAGTCTGCTAGAGTTAGGTCAGACTTGCATTTCACAGTTTGTTTTCAGTGCAGTTTGGGATCTTCACACTGAGATTTTAGTAATAGTGGAAAGCATCAGAAAATGGAAACTTATTTTTTTAAAAGGATATCACCAGGTTACTACAACCAAGTATTTTCACATCTGCCTTTAATCTCCAGTTAGCACCACACCTAACAAACAGATGTGTTCTGGTCATTTGCATAGAAAAAATGAATATGCTTTCCAATCCCTTTCAGCCTGTTTTTACATACTGTCTCCCCAAGCAATAAGTGATGTCTGAACTATTTATTTTTTTTTTTTTTTAAGTACAAGCACAAGCAGACTGGTGCCTGTGCAATGCAACCCTGTGGGAGATCTCTGAGCTTTGCAAAAATGTTTAGCTTTGAGAAGTTAAAGCAGATATTAGAGCAGAAAGAATATTTGCCAGTACTTAAAAGGACAGAAAGTAGTGGAGCAAAAGAACAAACTGATTGGGACAGAACAAATGGAGGAGCACTGAGAACCTAAGTTTGATATGAACGGAGAATGCAAGAGAAGACTTGAGGATTGAGGAAGAAAGAGTAGAAACACAAAGATGTAAACAGCTGGAAAAAGGCAGAAGCAAAAGAAATGTCAGTAATGGAAGAGATCAGAGCTCTGAAGATAGTGCAGTCTTTCTCCCCTCCTGTTAATTTCACTTAGTTAAGTTGTACTGTATGAGAAAACCGGCTTTGGTCCTTCTTGTGGTGAAGGTACATTGGTTTCTTAAAATTGAGAAGCAGCAGCAAAGTGTTACATTTTAAATTCAGGAAGTAAACATGAGAAAATTCATCTCACTTCAGTTTACAAAGTGGCATCCATTTGTTGAGTAGGTGCGACAGAACACTTTTGTGGTCTAACTGCACTTTTTTGTGTGTGTTTTTGCACATTGTCATGAAGGAGAGCCTGATATATAAGCATGTAAGAATTAAGATAGTAGATAAGACTGGTGATGGTATCAAACTTGTAAGTACTCATTCTGTTTTCAAAACAACTGTTTCATGAAAACAAAGGAAGGTGAGCAGAAAACGGTTTTGAGATAACCAGCTCAGAGATACTAGGTTAAGGACAAGCTTACCAATTCTAATTTGACTTGCACACTGAAGCAAAACAATTTAAATTGGCATTTATTAATAACGACTGCTTAGAATTTGAAAAGAAAGTAATCACACTATTGTTACATAAGAGAAAACAAGTGGAGCTGTGGCCTTGATTGAGCTTTCTCCATTCCGTTTTATGCAATCTGCAAATAAAATTTTGTAATATATTAAAATATAACAGAGTCATAAGCTAAAATTAAGCTTTAAGAGTCTTGGTCCACTTATTTTTTCCTAAAATCCACCATTTTCCTATGAACAAACAGCGTTCAGAAGATTTGAAAAGGTATGTGCTACCAAAGCAGCAGATTTTTTTCTGACAGTTCTACGACTTCTTTGTGTGAACAGCCTACAGCTCAAACAGTTTCAAAATGCTGCGCAGGTGAAGCTTGTAGATAAATCTTCCTACTAAGTTCTGTCTGCTCTGAAGTAGAATGCAGTGACTCTTCTTGGCAGTGAAAGGACATTGGCAGTAATTAGTATGCAAGAATAATTCCTTTAAGTTCAGGAATCTTTGATAACTGAAGCATATTTACACCAGGTTATGGTTTGGCTTGCCAAATTCTTTATCTCCTTTTAGTCTTCAAAAATGTCACTAAAGCTCTTGAAAGAAGAACTCAAATGCTCTTGAGATGTGTAAAATAAGACCCATTCAGCTTAAGTTGTCACCTAAGTGAAACCTCTTTCTTCCAGTGACAGGGACTTGATTCTCTTGGAGGTTCTGAGTTCTATCTGAGCAGTAAATTGGATGATTCATGATACGTGTGCCGAAACAGCACTGACAAGTTTTTCTACGCATGGTAGTTAAAATATGGGATATTATTATCTCGTGTCTCCTGTAGCAACAGGAGTAATATTTACACAGCAGTGCATAATTCATGGAATAATGTGTTTCTTTTGCAGTTGGTGGCAGAAAGAAAAATGGTTTGAGAAGGGCAAATTCTCTGTGCGACAAACATCTTAGATATTTTCAAAGGCAATAAGTAATAGTAGCCCATTTACTTTTTATCTTTATCAGTACTTTCAGGCACAGTGTTACACAAGCCAAAGTCCCCTTTTCTATTCTTTTAAATATAGCAGCATTTTGAGAAGTAATGTTTGCACTAATAAAATAACATGGAGAAAACAGAAAACCTAGCCAAGTCTACATCTACAGGATTGTTTTTCTTCTGATTGCCATTATGCAGTTTTGAAAGTTAAGACTCAAGATATATTATGAATTTTACTGCTTGTTAAACATGAGGGATTCAAACTCAACCTTCTGTTGGACGTTTCCCTCTGGCACAGACAGTGCAAGTATGCTTGTCAGAAGTGAAAACATAGGTGGTTAAAATGGTAAGACCTCATAAGTAGAAATGTGCCATTCGTCCTTTTTTTCATGGGAATCACTTTTTAACAATGCGTTGGTGTTTAGCTTAAATCCCAGCCCACAATTCAGCTGTCCAATTGTCAGTGCTTTTCATTCCTTCTTTACAATGCAAGTAAGGGTAGATTTAGGTGTAGAGACATTTATGACTCTCTGTGCTAACAAACAAGTAAATTCCAAACTTTTAACAGATAGGTTATCTTTATTCGTTTAAGCATCTTGTGATTTATCAATTTTTATGTTGATTTCAGTTCTTTTATTAATATTTCTTAAGGACTGGCTACAAGACTGCAGCCCAGGGCAGAATTCCAGTAGTCAGGTGTAAGCTGAAGCATTTTTCAAACTGAGTTGTTCTAGATTTGTAGCAACATAAATATGATTAAACTACAGCCATCAGCATTTAAATTTCATCCTTTGCTAAAGAATATCTTTTTTGCAGTCTCTGTTAAGCTTCCTTTACCTCTGATCAGTT